TTATTTGGTCTTGTAGGTTTTTACCTTGCTTCTTCATCTGCGCCTTTTTTTTTCTTTTCTTTTGATAGGTGGGGCTGTATTCCTGGCTTACTGGTTGTTTGGCCTGAGGCATCCAGCACTAGAGTTTGCAGGCAGTTGGGTAGAGCTGGGTCTTGGTGCCAAGATGAAGACCTCTGGGAGGCCTCACTCCAATTAATATTCCTTGGGGTTTGAGGTCTCTGTTAGTCCATAAGTTTGGACTCAGTGCTCCCAAAACAGGAGCTCGGGCCCAACCTCCAGCCTGGGAACAAAGATCCTGCAAGCCGCATGGCACAGCAAAAAAAAAACCCCAAAAAACAAAGGAAAATAAGGGCAGTACAATAACAAAGAATAAAAAATAAAATAAAATTAGAAAGATAAAAAATATATTAGGAAAAATATAAATATAATTGAAACAATGGCAACAAGGTAAAACAAAACCACAACAAAAAAATGAAAAGAAAAGGGGAAGACAAGCCAAAAGGAGAATAACAAAGTATAAAGAATAAAATAAAATTAGAAAAATAAAAGATTAGAAAAATATATATATAAATGAATCAACAACAACAAGGTAAAATAGAAACCCCAACCTAAAAGAAGAAAAAAAAAAGGCCTTGGCTACAGGGGTGGAGTTTAGGCGGGGGTGGAACTTAGGGGCGGGGTTTAGGGTGGGTCAGGACCTAGGCAGGCAGCAGGGTGATGTTTGAGCATGTGGCAGGGCCTAGGCTCAGGGCCGGTGCAGCTGGAAAAGGCCTTGGGGACAGTGCTTAGGTGGGGCGACGTTCAAGCATGGGGTGGGGCCTCTGCTTAGGTCCTGCGCAGAAGGGGAGAGGCAGTATGCCCAAAGGGGGGGCCTCTGGAGTGTGGACTTCCAGGGTTTGGCGGTAGGGCCCTTGAGTGAGGGTTTGTGGGTGGAGTTTAGGCCCAGCACGCTGGAGGGAGGGGGTCTCCGAGCGTAGAGGTGGGGCCCTGGGTGGGGGTGTAGGGGCGGGGCTTGGGGTCTGCGTGTCAGGAGGGAGGCTCCGAGGGCAGGATTAGGTCCAGGAGCCCAGTAGGCTTCCTGGTGCATAAGTGGACAGGGAAAGAGCTGGCTGCGTTCCCTTCCATTTCTCTGCTCCCCCCACCACCCCAGCCAAGGGTCTCCCCCAAGGGTCTCCCCCAGGGTCTCCCCCATTGCCACCGCTAGACCCCTAACCGTGGGTGGGTCCCGCTGGGTGTAGGAACTCCTCCCCTCCCCCAGCCGCCCCTCAGGGATGCCGGTCCGGGAGGTCCGGCTTTTACTTTTGCTCCCCCTTCCCTCCCTCCCACTCCCTCAGGACCCACGGCTGGAGGGGGCCTCGGTGGGCAGAGGATCAGGCCCGGGATCTCAGCAGGCTCCCGGGGGCCCAAGTGGGCAGGGGAAACCTGTCCACACTCCCTTTTGATCCTCTGCCCTCCCAGTGGTCCCCCAATTTCCCCCTTCGGGCATGGGATCCCTTCGTGTCCCCCAGCCGCCCCTCAGGGGCGCCAGTCCCGTACCGCCTCCACTTCTCCTCCCCCCTCACTCCCCCCCACGCCCCCTGTCTTACCTGGTCACTGTGGATTCCTCCTGACCCCTTAGGTGTCCGTGGTCCCCCACTGGTGCCTGGCAGGTGCCCTAGTTGTACAGAGAGGCGAATTCTGCATCCTCCTAGTCCGCCATCTTGACTCCACCATCCTCTGCATTTTGGAGAGCCCTCAGAACTCATTTGGGAGGTTCTTTTTTTCTATTTCTGCCACTCCTTTGGGACTCTCATCCAGTTTCATGGGTTTACATATAAGCTGATGAATACCATATAAGTGTCTCCAGTCTAGACCTCTCTCCTGAACCCAGATTCCTGTCACATTCATCTCCTCAACATCTCTACTCAGATGTCTAATAGGCATCTCCAATTTAACATGTTCAAAATCAACCCCCTGATCTTCCCCTAAGAAACCACTCTTTCACAGTGTTCCTCTCTTGGTTAACGGTAACTCTGTCCTTCTAACTTATCATCAGAACAAAAGCCCTGGAGTCATTCTTGACTCCTCCATTGCTCTCATAAACAAATTCAATCTGTCAGCAAACTCTCAGACTGAACCTTCAAAACATTTCCAGAATCTGACCACTTTCACCATTTCTACTGCTCGTGCTGAGATTAGTACCATAGCCTCCTAACGAGCCTCCCTGCTCCCACCCCTACCTCCCAACAAGTCTGTCCTCAACGCAGCATTAAAATGTTAGTCAGATCACGTCAGCCCGCTGCTCAAAACCTGCCAGGGGCCTATAATATCTCTCAGAGAAGACAAAGTCCATGTAATGGGGCACAAAGGTCTTTACAATATATCCTCCTCCCCTGTATTCTTAGGTCTTTTCCCCGTCCTTTACCCTGCTCCGTTTACACCAGCTTCCTTGCTGTTCCTCAAACGTGGCAGGTGTGGTCGTGCTTCAGTGCTGAGCAAGTCTTTCCTCTTGGCCTAGAATGCTCTTCCCGCATTTATCCTCACAGATCATTCCTTCATCTCCTTCAAATGTTGACTCAAATGTCACCTTTTCATTAAGGGCCTCCCTGACCACACTATTTAAGATTTTCCTCCCCACTCCACTCTCCTAAGGTCTCATTCACTTCCTTCAATTTCTCTCCAGCACTCGTCTCCTCCTAATATACATATACATTACTTATCTGTTTGTAGTTGTTTTCCCACTGGTATGCACATACCAACATGAGCATGGGGATTCCTGTTTTGTTGACTGCACTATCCCCAGTGTCAAAAGCAATACCTGGTAAATAGTTAGAGCTTACTTAATATCTGTGGAGTGAATGAAAGTTATTTCATCGCTCATCATACACTCAAGCGTCACAGAGGTGGGAACAATCTTTGTGATGACGGACCGACTAAGGGGAAGAAGTAAGAATAGGTATTCAGTTCAATTGAAGGACTTAAGGCAGGCAATGGATTTAATTATTCTTTCCATTTTTTAACTGAAATACTTTTTCTCCTCAAATAAATTATATCTTCTGTTGCCAGACAGGGTTAACTGTTCTTCCTTTCTTAACTTTTCGCTCAGTCAAGAAAAGAGCAAAGATTACAATAGGCAGAGTGTGCAACAAAAACTATAGTTATTAAAACAACACTTATCGGGACTTCCCTGGTGGTCCAGTGGTAAAGAATCCACCTTGCAATGCAGGGGATGCGGGTTCAATCCCTGGTCCGGGAACTAGGATCCCACATGCCGTGAGGCAGCTAGGCCGGCGTGCCACAGCTACTGAGCTCGCGCACCTCAACTGGAGAGCCTGCGTGCAGCAAACTACAGAGCCCACGCACTCTGGAACCCGCATGCCACAACTACAGAGCCCATGCGCCCTGGAGCCTGTGTGCCACAACTAGAGAAGAGAAAACCCGCACGCCACAACTAGAAAAAAGCCCGCACACCTCAACAAAGAGCCTGCACACCACAATGAATGATCCTGTGTGCCGCAACTAAGACCCAACACAGTCGAAATTAAAAATAAAAAAAAATCATTTACCAACAGGCCACAAATCAAAAATAAAGAGGAAACTCAAACCTTGAGAATATAAACATAGTTGCTCAATTCTTTAATGAGATTTTTCCTTTCCAGAGAAAGGGTACAGAAACAGATACGACTCAGAGGGAAGGAAAAATCAACAGATGTGTTGGTTTAATTGTACGGTTTCTAAAATACACTCACCAAATGAGGGAGAAAATTGACCCTTCTGATAAGAAGACCTTAGGTTTTTTTATTAAATAAAGAGCACTTCCTATTCACCTTTGAATGTATTTCTAGAGGAAATTTCAATGCTTGGAGAACCTGTTCCCCCAAAATGACAAGTTCACATTTTAATCTTTTTAACGTATTTATATAAAACCTTATTTATTTCACGTGAAAATTTAAAGAGGAAGTTGACTATGAAGCCAAAAACCCACGTTCTTTTCCCAGAACACATGCACTCGGAAACTTTTCTGCCCCCTTGCAGCCCTCTCAGAGGAGGACCAAGGACAGTCACAAAGGCTAGCAGGTGGAGAGGTTCACAACCACCACTGCTAGGGACAGACCTTACAGGGCTCATCTGTGGAGCACCAGCTATTCATTAGTCATCCCCATGATGGGGCTGAGAGCAAAGTGAAGAGGACTCAATGTGACAGTGCAGGTAAGTTGGTGGTGGCAATGCCCATTACCAAAGGAGTACAACCTTACAAAAAGCAATCACTAACTTAGAAAAGTCACTGTACCAGACACAGTGAGAGCTATGTCAGAGTACATGGGTTGCAGGGAAAGTTGGTTGTGAGAGAACACTTGATTAACTGAATCAAGATCAGGAAAGAAACACACTAATGACATCACGACATATTAATGGGAACATCATTCAAATGTCACAAATTACTGGAATATAGATCACTTTTGCAGAGCAGATTGTATGCAGAAGACCAGCTCTACCATATACAAGATATGCTTATCTGTTTATGAGGTATCCTTTTCCCATCACAGAAGAATATAACAGCTAATTGCCTTCCAATTACCTGACAATTATCTCTAGCTTTAGAAAGGAAACTATTTCGCCAGGTAACATTTGTTAGGCAGGCGGATGGAAGTGTGGGGCAGAGAACACATGTACACACACACACACACACACACACACACACACACACACACACAACCTGTCTCCCCACACGGAAATGTATAAGCCACAGAACTATGAACAGTGACCATTCCATTCACATACTTAAATAAGAGTTTTGACTCAAGACGCATAAAGATAGAATAACCAGACCTAGTTTATTCTTGTTATCTAACATAATTATTAATACTACAGCACCCACCCACCCCCAAATAAAATGTGTTCCAGTTTTGACAATAAATTATACGGTGACCTTACTTAATGGCAACTACCATCTTTCTCATGGAACGTTAAGCTTTGGTTGTGAAGCTTGCAAAATTAGTGCTGTAATTTTCCCATAAGGGTATGGAGGGTCATATTGGTTAAATCACCCTGCCTTTTCCCTTACAGAAAAGTCATGAATCTGGCGATGTTAACAAAGTGAGGAGGGCTTTCAATAATGAAAGAGTCAGCTGTGTTCCTCTATATTCTTTTGCATCTGCCATTTATACAGCTTGCCATGATCATTCCGGAACAATGGGGATTCTCTTGCTAGCCACCAGGGATTTTAAATGTCACCAATAGTTATGAGAAAACGTCTCAGAGTTTTATCTTATCTCTGGCTTACTAGACAAAGAGTAGAGTCAGGGATTTGAATCAGAAGCTCTTTATTTTGAAGCTAATAGTACAAAATACAAGGCCTTTTTTCCCTCAGTCCCCTCCCTACTACCAAGCATCTCCAAAGAGTGGAATTGGAGTGGCATCTCCAAAGAGTGAAAAAGCCAATACCAAGAATTGAACTAAAATCCAGGGTCTCCTGCCACACTTCCCTCCCTTATTCATCCAAAGAGCTGGTTCTTATTCCCAACTCGGTGGGAAAGTCAGTGGAGAAGCTATTGGAAGTGAGGTGAGGACACAACAGTGTTCACCCAGGGCAGCAATTTGCGAGGCAACAAATCTACTCATCACACTCCAAGAGCAGCCCCCTGACCCAGGGAGATGCCACGGATTCCAGAGCCCTGCTCTCCCACCCCACACTGTCCCAGCATGTTCTGGGCACGTTTGTACATGTTCCTGCCCCCTGGGTAGCAATCCTCTCACGGTGTATCTCAGAGTTCAGTCCCATAGATGGCCTTATAACGTAAATACTCTTCTAAACACTGCAGAACATTATCATCCACCTTTGGGTCAAACTTGTTCGCCAAGAGGTGATGACTCTGAAGAATCCAGTGCAGGTCCCCAGCCCCATAAATGCAGATAGCCCGCTGGTGGATTCCAGAGCAAGGTGCATAAGGCGCCCCCATACTGATGTCTCCCTCGTGGAACTGCCATTTGACCAGCCTGGCAATGGCGGTCATGTCTGAGATGTGAAACTTCGGGTGGTAGGGGACAGAGCCAGGCATCCACGGTGCACGCTGAAGGGTGGCCCAGAGGTGTTCATCGGGGCTATAGGTGTCTTTTGCCCATTCGATCAGTCGTTGGGATTTGGGGTTCTCTAAGACATGTTGGACAAAGGCTCGAGAAGCCACAAAATAGGCATTCCCTGTGAACACGGGTAAGTTATCAGGGGGAGGGTCCTTCATCTTGCTGGTTAGGTGCAACGTGTCTGTCACCTCATAGTGGTATTTCCAGCGAGACTTTTTGTACTCAGTAGGTATCTCGGACTCCATACTGTTCTTCCCATTCAACATCTTGAGGGCCAGGACCGTCTCAGCATTGGTCTTTATAGGAAAATCTGTCCCACATGTATTCAGTAAGTATTTCCAAGGCACCGAGCTCTGGAGCAAGTCTTCCATACAGTTCAGGTCAGCCTGCACCCTGGACCAGGAGGCGTAAACCACTCGGACCAACTTACTGGCCATGAAGACATTTGGGAAGCAGGAAATAATGGCCCTGACTGCCTCTTTGAAAGTTTCTGGGGACTTCTCATCCACATGGACGCAGTATATGTTCTGAGGGGCATACACAGCTCGCAGCAGCCGTTCAAAGTTTTCAATCTTCTCATGGACCACCACAGAGTATGCGATGGGGAAGTCTAACTCTTCTTTGCTCAGTGGGAACTGTATGAACTTCCTTTGGGACTTAAACTGCTCACAATCTCTGGTCATGTTGAGGTAATCGGTGTCTGTGAAAGGCTCCCGCTTCTTCTTGACCTCCAGATTGTCCAGGAGAGCCTTGACCACTGCTTCCTGGTCCCCTCGGGTGACCCCAGAACAGTTGATGGATCTCTTTGCTGGCAGCTTCAGGGACTTGTACAAGATGTCCCTACAGCGCTGGCTTCGAAAGTCCCTGGATTCCAGATCCAGGGAATCTATGTCACATTTTAACCTGAGAGAAAGTCTCAGAGCAACAACGGCCAGCAGCATATAGCAGCCCAGGGCCCACAGGTGATGCCCCCTGCAGAGTTTCTTCTTCCACCCAATCATCTTCATGGAATGGGAGATCGGTAGAGTTTGGGCACAGGGAAGGAGGAGGATGAAATCCTTGGACAGAACAAAATGCCTTCAGTTACAAACTAACCTGGAACATGCTCAAGGAACATCAAGTTCAACTCCAAAGTGATGGCAAAAACAGGTTTCTTCTCTAGACAAATACCCTCAGTCAAGTCCTGCCTAGGAACTTCATGCACCCAGCTCACTGATGGAGGTCTATAGCCTGACACTACAAACCAGCTGATCATGCTGGCACTGGAATCAGGATCTGGGTCCACCTCCACCTCAGGAGAGAGTAAGGGAAGCAGAGAGCTAAGTACCTGTTGCTGTAGAGCTGTAATTAATAAGAGGAACTCCCCACCCTTCCTTTTTCCTTCTTCCCCCCAAACCTTACCACCCTGTTTCTAACATAGCTCTTAACTGGGGGATAGAATTTCTGATCGGTCTAGAGAGAAAATCCATGAAATTCAAACTCTCAGCTTCAGTTCTAGACATGTCCTTTTAAAAGATAAAGTAGGGCTTCCCTGGTGGCGCAGTGGTTGAGAGTCCGCCTGCCGATGCAGGGGACACGGGTTCGTGCCCTGGTCCGGGAAGATCCCACATGCCGCGGAGCGGCTGGGCCCGTGAGCCATGGCCGCTGAGCCTGCGCGTCCGGAGCCTGTGCTCCGCAACGGGAGAGGCCACAACAGTGAGAGGCCCGCGTACCACAAAAAAAAAAAAAAAAAAGATAAAGTACAGTTCTTGCTCTTATTTGGCAGTTCATATTTTAGGATGCTTTCACCACATATAATTCATTGGTTAGCTGTGGCATCTAGCCACGCTTTAAAGAAAATGTTCTTAAACAAGTACAAAAAATTGGATGTAATTCCAAAAATACATTGTAATCATACAGATAACTCTCAGTCTATCCAAATTTAAAATATATCCACACAGAGACACACAAAGCTATGCATATGCAATATTTAATGAGAACTTTCTTTGAGCCAGAAATTTCTTTACATTTTCCCATTGAATCTTCACAACATGCCTAAAACATAGTAATATTAGGCCTCTTTTATAGAGAGGAAAACGGAAGCTAAATAACTTGCCAAATGTCATATACATTATAGGAAGCAAATCTGGGACTCTTCCATACTCCCTCTTCCCCCCAATCTTTTTTTTGGGAGGGGGCGTGTGTCTGTAAGCCTAATACTTGTTCCTCCAAACCACAGCTACCTTTTAAATACAATACAGGGTACCTAAAACTACTATGTAAAAAACAGATAAACAACAAAGTCCTACTATATAGCACAGGGAACTATATTCAATATCCTGTGATAAACCATAATGGAAAAGAATATGAAGAAATATGTATATCTGAATCACTAAGGGTACTTAGTACCAACAAAGAAAACCAGATAGTATAGGGGAAAAAATAATCCCCAAAAGGAGAAAAAGAGGAACAAAATGTGACATATCCTTCCGGCAATAATTCTTTTCCCTTATCGCAATCTTGTTCAAAGCATAAGACTGTATCCTCTTCAGTAATAACTTATGGGAATCTAAGAGGATGAAAAAATGAAAAGTAAAGAAAACTCTCACCTTTAATAGCTTCCTTCTTATTTAGGGAAGATCTTTTTCCCAAGGGAAGATCTGTTGGGTTCCATGGAAGCAAATGTGAACACCATGTCTCTTCTTTCTTCAGCCTCTCCAAAACATATTTTCTAACATTCATAGGATGTCCAAGAAACTGTGTCAGACTCCTTAATCTCTGCAAAGTAAAGAGCAGCAGGTGGCTCTGTCACTGACCTTCTAGCTTCCTGCTCTCAGATAAGAGAGCCAGCTCAGATATATCATTCAGGAGCATATTCTCAAGAACAAGTCATTCAGGGAGGTGAGCAAGCAGGAAAAACGTGCTGGCAATGCGTAAGAAGGCAAGCAGCTATTTCATCCAGAATAGCCCAGTTTGTACTCATGTTCTCCTGCCACAAAACCATTCATAAAAACTTGTCAATACTCATACAAGAACTTGAAAGCTTTTTTCCCCCTTAACAAGGAACCGTGGAAACACACAGGTATGCCCCTATCTTCTTTTGGCCTGGAGTTCAAATATCTCTCCTCTTATGTTCCCTGAATACTCCCTGAATTTCACTGAAGAGTAAAGCAATAAAAATGACCTTCAAGGATTATTTTTTTTGTTCTTTTACTTTAAAGGAAATGTCAGTGAAAAACAGACTTTGCTCTTCCATGGCAACTACTCAAAAAAAAAATTAATTTGTCTGTCTTTCCATGACTGTTAATAATTTGTAAGTTGGAGAAATATCCTCGGGGCTCCAGACTGTAGATCTCCATCACTAATGTCTGTGAGTCTAGGGTTCCTGACAGTCTGAACAAGGCTAACACTAAGGGTGGTTGGACTTCAGTGAGCACCCCATGGGTGGTTTTGGCAATACGGTGTGAAAACTTACTTCTTCAAAACTGCTGCCATTGTTTGCCACTGTTTGCCTCTCCCCATCACCCCCAAAGCACCCCTCCAAATATGCAGCATTCCTGGCCAAATATTTGAAATAACAAATTTAATAATTTTACATAAAGAACTTAACCAGGTATCAAGTTAAGTAGATAACGGAAAGCAGGGGGAGGGGTAGATGATGCTAAATTATTAAGGAAGTAACAATTGCTGTAAGTAGCTACCACCCCTAGGCTGGAAGAAGGAGGAAAATATTGGGGGATTATTGAGAATTTGGTAAGGGGATGCCAACAAGCGGAAACTCAGACCTCTGGTTGGTGCTGGGGTCTCTGAGCTCAGAGGAGGGCCTCCTAGGCTGAGATCCAGACCTCTCCTGAGGAGCCTGGTGTCTCTGTGCTCCGTTACTGTAAACTAGATTCAGTGCAGCTACACAGAGGGACCACAACTGCGAAGGAAAAGGGCGTTGACATAGTGACGCTCACAGAAGCAGGGAATATGTACGAAGCCAACAGGAAGTCCCGCCTCCAGTCTGTCTTCCTCCACCGCCCCCTATTGGCAGAGCCTAATAAGGGGCAGCTGGCAAAGCACAAACGTGATTTGCAGACTTCCCTCATCCAGCATCACAAAGCTGAGTCCAGGAGGGCAGGCTTCATCTGAAGACAACAGCTTAATAACGAAGATGAGTTAGCGTTGCCTTCCTCCTGCAAGAACTGTTTATGCAGCCCGCAACAAAGCACCGGGAATTTAGGTCTTTTCTTTTTTTGGACCTCCTCTGCCTGTTTCTGACTGTAGATGAAGACAGACCAATGGCACAGAGCCATATGCAGTCATGTGCGCCCGCTCTTTTATTGACCCCGTTCCACCGGCTCTGTCTTCTGTCAGCTTTGGTCACTCCGGGGCAAAAACGATTAAAGGATAAACACTTGCTCCAGTATCGGAATCTAGCAAAATCTTTCCAATTTGTTTATATCTTACTTCTCTTTGCTGGCCACCTCAAAGTCCCACCTTCTTTCCCATAAAAAAAATCAAAGAATCTCTCAATAGAGAGAAAATAATTTAAATGTTTGATTTTTAAGGTAACCAAAACAGGTATCCACTTTTATTTGCTAAATATATGCTAATGTAACATTAACAAATTGTGGATATATTTTGTTAAGATAATCTACGTATGAGTAACACCAAATGGCTAGTAGTTATGGGCACACCTAGGCTTTGGCAGGAGAGAGCTAGGTCTGAATCCTAGCCCTGCTACTTTCTAGCTGTGTGACCATGGGAAAATTCTGTAATCCCTCTGTGCTTCAGTGATTTCCTTGGTATAACTGGGGCTAATACTAAATAGCTATTTTATAGGATTGCTGTGAAGATTAAACAAGATAACACATATTGGGGCTTCCCTCGTGGCGAAGTGGTTGAGAGTCCGCCTGCCGATGCAGGGGACACAGGTTCATGCCCCGGTCCGGGAAGATCCCACATGCCGCGGAGCAGCTGGTCCCGTGAGCCGTGGCCGCTGAGCCTGCGCGTCCGGAGCCTGTGCTCCGCAACGGGAGAGGCCCGCATACCGCAAAAAAAAAAAAAAAAAAGGTAACACATATGGGAGACTTAAAACCTGGCATATGCAGGCCCTGGCCCTTAACTACTGTTAAGTAGTCTCCAGTACCAGCCCACAGAGGCCATTTTGCTCACAGAATAGCTCAAGGAGGGTACAAATAGTGTTAATTCTGGATCAAGGAAAAGTATTGATGCTGGTGATGTGGGTAGATAAGGGAAGAGACCTGGAATTGTCCCCTTCTCTGTGCTCTGGAAAGAGGCTCAGTTTAAGTGGTCAGTGTTAGCAGTGCAGAGGGGAGAGGTGAGCTGCAGCTGACCCCAGGGAAGTGCAAGAGAGGAAACAGAATAGCTGGAGAGAGGCACAGGAAGATCAGGAGCCAGGTAAGCCGCAGAGATCACAAAGCAGCAGATTCCACACCTTAACTCCATGCTGGCCATAAAGACAAGGTGGGGACCAGGCAAGTTTCAAGGTCTAGGAGCCCAGACCTAAGGAATGAATCCCTTCATGAGGGTTTCTTTTAGCCCTGCTGAGGCCCAACAGCGCCAGGTGAGCCTGGGGGCAAATGTGTCCAAGGGTCCAGGATTACATGAAGATACTTACAAGTCCCAAGCACTGAAAATGATGAGGGCACTCAGCTCCCTCAAGTACTGAGAATAAAAGCAACATTAAACCCGATAATAAGTATAAGCCTAACACAGTCCAGAGTTCCCACAATGAGTACTGCTATGGTGTCGTTCCTGAAATAGCAGACTTTTCCCGCTCAGACCCCTCAATCCTTTTCTCCTAATCATGAGTTTAGTCTGATTATTGGGCAGATAGTTTTGCCTCCTTCTGCTATTTTGAACTGTAAATCCCTGTATGTCTGTGAAATGGTCTAAGCGTTCCAATAATGGGGAGACTAAGCCAGGCTCATCAGGGTGGATCTGAAAGAATCCAGTGGAGTTTGGTGTTAACATCGATGGAGGTACAGGGGACCCTGCAATCCCAACAAGAGGGTCAGAGGAAGGCCCAGGCAGCAGGGATCCGACCTTTTTTTTTTTTTTTTTTTTTTTTTGCGGTACGCGGGCCTCTCACTGTTGCGGCCTCTCCCGTTGCAGAGCACAGGCTCCGGACGCGCAGGCTCAGCAGCCATGGCTCACGGGCCCAGCCGCTCCACGGCATGTGGGATCTTCGGGGCATGGCCGCTGAGCCTGCGCGTCCGGAGCCTGTGCTACGCAGCGGGAGAGGCCACAGCAGTGAGAGGCCCGCGTACCACAAAAAAAAAACAAACCTCACTCATCCTCATTGTGGTGTCCTGATCCCAAGGGCAAAGGCCATTTCTAACTCAGCTCTGCCTCCTTAGAGCAGCTAGCATGAGAACTTCCAAGTGACAGATGCACCAGGAATGTTTCCTGAATGAACAGCTTCCCCAGGGTCCCTGAGAGGTCCTCTAAGTACTGGAGTCTTGAAACCCTGGCTTACTAATAGTTACTGGAATTGATGTATGGAGGTGCCCTCCAATTGTCCACAAAAGTACAATGCCACGGAGCTGAAACCAATTGAAATCCAAACAGCGTTAATGGGATTAATTTTGTTGAAGAGACTTCCTCAGAAGTAACCTCCCAAAAATGAGATTTAACTAAGAGATTAAGGTACCTCCTACTGAGTCATTAGAAAGTAACCTTTTAAAGGGAACTAGTAACAAATGGCATGTAACATGACACTCTTTCATTCGTTCAGTCAGTTTAACATTGATTGAGGAAGCTGCTAAATTTTCAATGTTAGAGATACCAAGTGGATTAAGACAGTCCCTACTCTCAAGGTGCTCACAGTCCTGTGTGGGAGAAATGTTTGAACATGGATTATAATGCCATGTATGAGTGCAAGAAAAGACACGTGTTGGATACAATGGAGGTCCAGAGGTTAAAACTAAAAAGGGAATGGTTAGCAATACAAGTGCGAACAAATTAGTGTAGGTCTGAATGAAACCTAGGAAAAAAAGATTAAGAATTTGTCTGGGTGCCTCTTGTACTGTCTAGGGAAGGATCTTGGCTAATGGCTACAAGAGGAACAGATATTGTGGGTTAAAGAAAATGTCCCTTTACGGCAGCCATTTGGAAAAAGAATGTTAGATCTCTACCCCACGCTATAAACATAAATAAATTTCAGATTAAAACTAAAAAGAAAAAACAGTTCTAAAATTCCAGAAAATGTACAGAATACTTTAATGATACTAGGTTGGGAAGATATTTTTACTATTACACCAAAACCTGAAAATTATAAACAAAAAAGAAATAGATTTGACTATGAAGAAACCATAAATAAAATTACAATTAAAACTATAAAAAGGGGACTTCTGGGAAAGCTCCTTAAAAGGGAGAGGCTAAGCCCTTCTTCCCTTCCTTCTTTTACTATCATGAATGCAGATGTAATGGTTGGAGCTCCAGCAGCTATCTAGGACCTGGAGGCAACAATGAGAAAGGAAGTCATGAGCTGAAAGATAGTCATACCATACAGCCACTTCACCAGTTCTAGACTGCCTACTTCTGGGTTTCATTTATATAAGAAAGAAACAAATTTCTGCCTTATACAGCCACTACTTTTTCAGGTCTCTTACATGAGTCACAAATTCTTAACCCATGCAGAAGCTGTTTCCTAATTCAGGGACATTTAGACACATAGGTATGAAAAAGGCATAGGTTTCAGGGAAGTAAAAAGAAGTTAGTCTGACGCCTGCAGAGTACAGAAGAGGAGATCTAATTCCCATTCTCTCTACCACCACTTCTCCCATCCCCATACCACCACCACCACTGTTTGTGTCTTATTTAAAAACACATTTCAGGAAAAAGTCTGGAAAGGAATGCACTAAAATATTAAGCACGGTATTCTGGGTTGTGTGATTGCTACTGGTTTTCCGTTTCCTTTTTTTTGTCTCATCAGTTTCTAGAATGCACAGGTATTATATATTTTTTAATTTTTCAAAAAAAAGCTATTTTAGAATCATCTTAGGAAGCAAAACAAAATAATGCCTTCCACTATTTACAATAGCCAAGACATGGAAGCAACCTAAATGTCCATTGACAGAGGAATGGATAAAAAAGATGTGGTATATATTTATACAATGGAATACTACTCAGCCATAAAGAAAGGATGAAATAATGCCATTTGCAGCAACATGGATGGACCTAGAGATTATCATACCAAGTGAAGTCAGTCAGAAAGAGAAAGATAAATAGTATATGATATCACTTATATGTGGAATCTACAATATGGTACAAGTGAACTTATTTACAAAACAGAAACAGACTCACAGACATAGAAAACAAACTTATGGTTACCAAAGGGCAAACGGGGTGGGGGAGAGATAAATTAGGAGTTTGGGATTAGCAGATACAAACAACTATATATAAAATAGATAAACAACAAGGTCCTACTGTATAGCAAAGGGAACTATATTCTGTATCCTATAATAAACCATAATTTAAAAATGAAAAATATATACATATATACATATATGAATCATATTATATATATATATGTGATATATCACATATATATATACTGAATCACTGCTGTATACCAGAAACTAACGTAACGTTGTAAATCAACTATTCTTCAATAAAAAAAAATCATGCTGTCTTTGATTGCAGACGTCAACCATGATTTTACCTCTTTTCAGGTCTATGTGAACAGATCTAGTCTTTATTTTGGGGGGGAAAGTAGGATCGTGTGCATGTGTATATGTATGTAT